ATATGATATCAAATTATCTCAAATTATCTCAATATATGATATCAAATTATCTCAATATATGATGTTAAGTTATCTCAATGTTATGTTAATGTCAATATGTCAAGTTAATGTCAAGTTATGTCAATATATAAATTCAAATTGTCTCAATGTATGATATCAAGTTAAGATGAGTATCAACTTGGCATATGTCATATTTGAGTTATTGTTTGAAATTCACTAAGGTCTGTATAATTATGGTTAATGTAGTGATATTTGTTCAGAAGTCACTAATATTGCCAGTTTTGTGACTTGAATTTGTAATGGCACATGTAGTTTTTGGCAATGCTCTCTTTTTCATTATTTTCCCATTCCCACACTTTGAATATTTATCATTATCCATTCAAGATGTCCGTGTCAGAATTTAAGCAAGGCTTTATATAGAATCCTAAAGCCCCAAGAGAAATTAACTCCGGACTAATAATTTGAAATTCACTTTAAAACATTAATTGTCTAGAAATTGCTGCTGTATTGAATTCAATGACGTAGATATCCAATTTTCAGTTCTATTTTTATGTTTAAAGCCTTTATTCTTAAAACTAGGGGAATATTTTCAGATACAATGCTTAATTTGCAATATTTCAGTGGGTATAATTAATTTTTATTTTTGATCAAGATCTTGAATGTGCCATTTAGACTTAATTGTCTGAAAGCCTATAATTATATTGATAGTTCTTAAAAGAATATATGTGCTAGGTTTACATAGATATATATACCCGGTTAGTGTTTTCCATGGTTGGTTTTTTACTTAATAATTGAAAATATCCCCAAGATTAAATAACTATAAATAAACTAAAGTTTGCGTCTGAAAGGTTGCTTAGCAAAATACCATGCAATATATTAGCAACAAACTTATCAACCTTTTGCTGTTTATTATAAAACTGTTCCTTATTATCCCAAGATGAAATGAAAACAATTCCTATTTTCACTCATTTAAGATGAAATCCAAAATTAAGTAGAATTTTTCACACCAAAAAAATTGACATTATGATTCCTTATATCTACATTAAAATATGACAGAAAAAATAGCTATTTGTATGTATTATGTAATGGATATATTAAATATAGATATGAAAAATGTGTGTGATACAATATAAAACTTAACACTAAAAAAGACTCTTTTTAAGAATGGAGCATTGCCGATACATTTTGAACCATATTTATAGGAATTCTTGAAGGTCACTTGGATTATTGATTAATTTTTCATTGTGAAATATAAATTGAACTCAGTATGGCCAAATGTCAAGCTATTTTTATATTACTTGTTGGATGGGCATAAATTAATGTCATTTTTTAACAACATAAAAACATCAAATAAGACCATGAAGTATTTTCTAATTTTACTTTAATTTTAGCTACATTAATAGCTAACGGATTTTAGCTGATTGGATTATCAATTTTTAAGGTAGTGATTAAGGACACAAAGACTATATAAAGACTTTACTGATGATTTCTACTAGTCATAGCCTGGCATTTAGCAATTTTCCTTATTTGAGCGTGTTATGAGAATTATTTATTAGGCGCTTAATTAAAAGACTAAATAAGTAAACAGTATTTAGCGTGCAAACATTAGCTGTGGATTAAAGTTTGCAACTCTTGAGGAGTCTTAGAATGTCTGTGAGATCTGTTTGATTTTTTGATGTACACGAGCGCCTATCTTTAATTTCAGCCTACAAAATGAACCCTGACACTATATACTTTTTACGTGAAGTAGTATTTAAGTGTTAATTCTTCATTGTAGAGACCTGCTAAATAATGATAGATATTTGAAGACTTAAGTCTGAATAACTTAAAGCCAGTGTTTGTTTCTCCCATATTTGACACAACTGAAGAAAATTAGTTTGAAGTAAAAGTGCTCTGAATTATTAAGCTTACATGTACTTTCTGACCCTGGCAAATTGCATTTTAAGAAACTGTTAAGTTTTTTTTCCCTCTCTCAAATAACCATGAAATTCATTGGGCTTCTTGTGTAAGAAGGTGTTTAGTTGTAAATTTCATCAACTTCCCAGGAAGTTTAGTACTCAGTTAATTGCTAGTTTTGCTTTAGAGCATACTCATTTGCTCAGGAACACTAATTACTAGCCTGATTTTATTGTATTAGGTAATTGGTTTTTGGTTGCTTGCAATTACACACTTGCTCAAAGTTAAACTGCTGATGAATAAGGTAATGTTTAAACTGAATGCTATACTTTGCTGAAATGTCTGTAGAGGACATATCCTGCTTTGAATTGTGTATAGTTTATTCATGGATTTCTGTATCAAAATGCAACAATTGTGTAGTCAACTGAGTGTGTAGTCTGGTGTATGTGCCAACTCATGGCCTGACAATGTACTTGAATGATACAGGACATGACTGTGTCACCTCTAGCATTTAAAGAATACACTAATTGGTAATGAAGAAGGACATCATTAACATCATCATCATCATTAAAAAATGTCTACCATTTTAGAGTAATTATACATAGTTAACATGTTAAATTAGGACTATCTGGTAACACTTTTAATAGACAGTATTTTAAATAAATTTATTGAAATCTATGATATATTTCAAGACTTTGAAATTGAAAGAATACTATGAAAATGTTACATCTCCGGTGATACAGACACCAGGTTTATGTTCTAAGCTATGTATTGCTTTCAGATATTTCCTTGGACAATCTAATATTGCTCTTATATCAGACATAGTATAAACAATATTAGATGTAACAGGATGTCAAACACATTAGAAACAGCCTGGTATTGTCAAATTCTTAAGCAATTAAGTTACAGAAGCCTTGCTGTAGCCTACTAATTCATTTTAAAGCTTTGTTCACATAATGTTGTGTTGTAATCATGGTACCAGCTTAAATAAGTGTTATAAAGTAGAACTTAAGGTGTAAGTATGATCTATATGTAGTGCTGATTCCATTCTTTTTGTTGTATTTGCTTGTTTCAAATGAAGCCTTTCTGTACTGGTAATCTGATAATATAGATAAACATTTATCACTATCAGTTAAATTCACTTTTGTACATTTATCAGATAATCAATTGGCATAGTGTATGCTACTTAGGTCTATTATACGCCAGAAGTGCTTTTGATTTTATTTTTCAGAAGCTTTATTTGGGGTGTACTTATAAGTTGCCTTCAAAAAGTAACTCATTGGCATTTGGCAATTAGAACACTTATAGTGATTTAGTATGTTGTATGGAAGTTTAAATACTACCTTTTACTTTTTGATACGTTTGTGACAAATAATAAATCATTGTACATGCCTTAAAACATAATTTAAAAGTTATGAAACTCGAGATTTCCCTTTTCAAGAAATAAGAATTTATTTGTAACTTTGGCATAATGTGCCATCAAAGAGCAAATGCATTTTTTAAAAATGTGCCTCATGAAATTTACAGTTTGTTGTTTTTGACATTCATAATCCGAACAAATATATAATTTGTTACTAATGAGAGGTTGAGTTTAATGTGTAGTGGATTCTTTCTTTGCTTTCTTTGTGAACAATTGTTATTATTGTGTATTGCTCTATGGAGGTTGTAATGAACAATGTAATTTGTATAAAAAAAAACAATGATGATTTATGTTGGCTTGCAAAAAGATGGCATTTATCCATTTTGTTATACGTATCATAAGAATAATTAAGGTAATGAAACATTCTTCAGACAAGTTTCTTGATTGGGTCTCTACCCTTATTGAAAAATTAATTTTGATTGCTCAATCAAATTTACATTTGGACATATATTGCCCAGCCTTTGCAGTGCTCTTGTTGTTAATGCATTGTTTGGTTTATATTAAGACATCATATTGATATTTTAATACATAATAAAAGGCTGCAAAAATGAGTGTTAATTCTTATGATGTGCATTGCGTGAAAAAAACAAAACAAAAAAACCAAGCAAGATAAAGGGTTTACAAATGAAAATTTGTTAAGTCTGTATTTGACTTAGTTACAAAAAACTGAAAGAAAATTTTGTTTGTTTGATCGGGTTTTACCATTACATCACACGGACACACTCACAGTATAGATCATATGGCGATGTTCCAGCTTTACTGGTGGAGGTAGACCTCAGGTGCCCTTCCGTGCATAATTTCAGGCACAAACGGGCACCTGAGTAGAACCACCGACGTTCCGTAAGCTAGCTGGATAGCCTTAAAGAAAATAAATGTTTGATTATGATCCTCATAGATAATGATTTATCTAAAGAAGCAAAATTAAATTGAGTCATCTTCAACTTTCAAGAAAAAACATATTTCTATTTGAGAAGACCCAGACAAGGGAAAATAAATTGAATATAATTGAATTATATCACATTGAATTTAGACATAATTCGGTTACAGTCTCCAAAATAATTCTGAAAGCCACACCAAATATAGTGCACTACTTCCCTGGAGATATAATTTTTCAGAGAAACAGCGTTAAGTTAGAGAAATCTTTTGATATCTTGACTATTTGGTTAAAAATATGCCATCATCTGTCACCTAGATTTGTTCCTGTTTGTTCTTTGTGATTCAGTTATGAGGGTTTCTATTTGCAGACATACACATACACTGATAGTGCAAAAATCACAAATTATCATTATGAAATTTCAACATAGCAATTTTAACTGTAAAATGATATATGATGGAAAATTGTCTTCATTTAATACTACATGCTCATACTCTCTTGGTCATCATAAATGTATACAGTTGGACACATCATGGTTGAGAACAAATATTTGCTTTAGTTTTCCCTATGATGGGAGGCAATGTTAAAGAAATGAGTAAGGTGGAGTTTATCTGGTGCTAAGGGGCATGGACGGTGACCACTACCCTCCATGAACAGGCTCAATAAAACCGAGTCTGCAACATTTTTAATTTTGCCATTTTGGGCGTTCTTTAGGGATTCTGTATTTCTATATTACTTGCTATCAAATGTCTTGACCAGGCATTAAACCAAACATATCATAATATCCACAATTGGTATGAATACAAACCTAATTTAACAGTAAACATGTCTACTGTACTGAGATATGAAGTTAAATGTTGGTTTAATCTTTTAGGTGTGTGTTTAGAAGCTATTGGTGAGGCTAAGGTAGAATGGATGACCTCTAGTGATATTCAGGCATCTGATGAAGAAGTGTTCAATTATACTACAGTACTGCCAATTAAGGGTAAGTTGAGTTAAGTCAAGGGTTATAACTTTTATGAAATTTTGTTGTGATTAATGTTTCTGAGGATCACGCTTTATTAAGATTTTACAACAGCAATCTTTGTGTGTATTTGTTGATGTTTGAATATTGTTTAAAGATGTTATGGAGACAACTATGATTTTGTTTTCTGTTATTGTAGCCAATAATAAGTTTACGTACAACCTTGTGTTTGTTTTCAATTCTTGTAACTAATGATAGATTTATTGTATGTTTATGCAACAGGAACATGTTTGTTTTAGCTGTTATAGCCTGAAGAAGATTAGTTTTATATTTAAATGCCAATAAATGAATGTTAATTGATAATATTAGTTAACAAACATTGGAAGCTTTATTTAGTTTACTAGATAAATAAAGGTAAATGTTAATGTCATGTTGTTTAATAACATGCTAATAAGTATAACAAATATTTCACGTAAATGACCTAAAAGTTTCATGTAAGTTACTTATAACTTAGCATTTTGTTTAATGAAATTTCAGGAGACAAGGACAGTAATGATGATCTCCTTCACTCTGGTTCTCATTATTTCCCCTTCGAGTTCACCCTACCCCCTAAATTACCATCGTCTTTCAAGGGTAAACATGGACGATTACGTTACTATGTACGCATGACAATAACAACCCCAGGAGGGCCTCATCATGAACGTACCAGTAAATTTGCTGTCATTTCAAATTTAGATTTAAACAAGGAACCTGATGCCTCTGTAAGGACATGCTTTTTATCCCCCGCCGATGGAATCGGGAGGGGGATATAGTTTTGACGTTGTCCGTCCGTCCGTCCATCCGTCCGTCCGAATTTCGTTTCCGAAGTAGTTCTCTGCAACTACTGGCTGGGATTCAACGAAACTTTATGGGAATCATCAATATCAAGAGGAGATGCGCATATCGTCGGCTTGTTCCGGTCCGACCCTTTAACTCAGAGTTATGGCCCTTGATAAGTTATGTAGTATGCATATAGAGTAAAAATCGTTTCCGGAGTAGTTCTCTGCAACTACTGGCTGGAATTCAACGAAACTTCATGGGAATCATCCATACCAAGAGGAGATGCGCATATCGTCGGCTTGTTTCGGTCAGACACTTTAACTCAGAGTTATGGCCCTTGATTAGTTATGCAGTATGCATATGGAGTGAAAATCGTTTTGCGCTACTTCTCTGCAACAACTGGCTGAAATTCAACAAAACTTATGAGAACCTTCAATACCAAGAGGAGATGCGCATATCGTCGGCTTGTTCCGGTCAGACACTTTAACTCAGAGTTATGGCCCTTGATTAGTTATGCAATATGCATATGGAGTAAAAATCGTTTCCGGAGTAGTTCTCTGCAACTACTGGTTGGAATTCAACGAAACTTAATGGGAATCATCAATATCAAGAGGAGATGCGCATATCATCGGCTTGTTCCAGTCAGACCCTTTAACTCAGAGTTATGGCCCTTGATGAGTTTTGTAGTATGCATATAGAGTAAAAATCATTTCCGCACTACTTCTCTGCAACTACTGGCTGAAATTCAACGAAACTTTATGGGAACCTTCAATACCAAGAGGAGATGCGCATTTCGTCGGCTTGTTCCGGTCAGACACTTTAACTCAGATTTATGGCCCTTGATTAGTTATGCAATATGCATATGGAGTAAAAATCGTTTCCGGAGTAGTTCTCTGCAACTACTGGCTGGAATTCAATGAAACTTTATGGGAATCATCAATATCAAGAGGAGAGGCGCATATCGTCGTCTTGTTCCCGTCAGACCCTTTAACTCAGAATTATGGCCCTTGATGAGTTATGTAGTATGCATATAGAGTAAAAATCGTTCCGCACTACTTCTCTGCAACTACTGTCTGGAATTCAACGAAGCTTTATGGGAACCTTCAATACCAAGAGGAGATGCGCATATCGTCGGCTTGTTCCGGTCAGACACTTTAACTTAGAGTTATGGCCCTTGATTAGTTATGCAGTATGCATATGGAGTAAAAATCGTTTCCGCGCTACTTCTCTGCAACTACTGGCTGGAATTCAACGAAACTTTATGGGAACCTTCAGTACCAAGAGGAGATCCGCATATCGTCGGCTTGTTCCGGTCAGACACTTTAACTCAGAGTTATGGCCCTTGATTAGTTATGCAGTACCCATATAGAAAAACATTTGTTTCCTCGCGACTTCTCTGCTACTACTGGCTGGAATTCAATGAAACTTTATGGGATACTAAGAGGAGATGTGCATATAGTCGCCTTGTTCCAGTCAGATACTTATAACTCAGATTTATGACCCTTGATTAGTTATGTAGTATGCATACATCTCATTGGCATTTCCAGATTTTACTATTTAACACAAAGTTATGGCTCTGTTATTCCCCTGAATATTTATCAAGTTCAAAGAATATTACTGTTTATGCCATGATTAATATATAAATAAAGGCTTATGTCTTCAGTTGTTGTGTTAACAATAACCAGTACTCGGCGGGGGATATAAATTCAACGAATTTGCTTGTTTATTTACAATTTACCGTATTTTGTTTCATGTCAATAGAACATTTATTTGCTGAGTTGTTAGAATTAGTTTTAATTCCATGACAATTTAGAACAAACAGATAATTAAAACATGTCTTGTTGGGTTGGTTTATGTAAATATGCAATATGTTTGCAGAATTGATGACGATTACTGCTGTAATGCATGTCATTTTATCCTAAATAATTTTAGATAATGCTCTTTAAACCATATTATTAGGCTTCCATACTCATAAAACGGATGGATTGACTATCTCTAAGCTGAAAGCTAAACAACATTTCAAGGAAATTGTCATCAGTTTTAAAATTAAATTCAATCTTTTTAATTAAAAAAGACATTAATATTCATTGGAAACTTTATTTTCTTGTGTTTTGTAATTAAGATAATCAGCAAAATAAAATCCAATGAATAATTAAAACATTTTTTTTGTTGTTTTCAAGAATTTCAATTTTAACTGTTTAGACTATTTTTGCTTTTTCAACACCGCCTTCTAATACTGAAAGGTTACTTACATCAAATCGATATTTCAATGCCATTCTGGCAACTTTAGAAATTGTCTGATTTTTTATAATGTTAATTACAATTATAAAGCATCGGTCACATCAGTCATATTTTGCGAACATAATTTTGTTGCGAAAATAATTAAAATGATGAATGTCATCATTTGCCTGCAATACCTTGTTGACAATTAATCATGAAAACATATGTTATAGTAAAAGACATTATGTAGATAATTTGAAAAATTCTCAGTATATATTATATATATGTATACGTCATGTATATTTGTTTTTTATTTCATCAGTTACCTGTAGAAAATGATACATTTGAGGCAATCGGGTCATGGTGCTGCGTCTCCGGAACTGTAACAGCCACATTAAAATTGGAGAAGAAAGGCTTTGCTGTAAAGGAGGCAATACCTGTTTGGGCAGAGATTAAAAATCTCAGCACTCGTAGAATATGTTCAACTCAAGTTTCATTAATACAGGTATGTTACAATGTTGAATAAATATGCTGTGTGCAGACTTGACAAAGATTTTACTTTCAGTAGACATCTTTAAGTAAAGTGTTTTTACTAAACCGGTACATGTTCTACATGGTTTTGATATAGTGTCTAACATTATATTAATTTAACCAAACACAGTATATAATAAGCAATGAAGGATCAGTGTACCAGTGATATAAAATATGATACCCCAGAACTTCTGCAAAATACATAGGCCTAAAGGTTATATTTTATTTATGTATGTGTTTTATGTATTTTCTTGTGTGTTGATATCTTTGAAAATAGGACAAATTTCACTGTTTTTATCTGTATATTTATGTATTCAATATTTATGCTAAATCTCTAAAATTATGTTTATTCTATTTCTGTTTCTTTGAATGAGAAGAAACTGAAGGGAATGTGAAGAGTAAACACTTTTTGGCATGTAAGAGAATTCGATTTACAGACATGAAAGTGGCATTTTGTCAATCCATATATCTGTAATAGGCTCCATTGTTTATAGACAATTTCCTGAATTGCTTGAAACAGAGACAAAATGGTGTTAGATCCTTGTCGTTACAAGTAATGATTATTGCTAACACTTATGTTGTTTATTTTAGGGCTTGTTTTATCTAGCTTCAAAGTTATTTTATTGGAACAACTGATATTGTTTACCCTGATATTTTCTTGTTAATTGCTCATAAGCCTTTTTTGATTCGGATATTATTGCACTAATGGTGGGCGATTAATGGGGCTGCAGAATGGTTAAGGCTGATAGAACTGACTTTTTCCAGCTTTGAAGATTTCAGTTATAAATGTTTGTTTACATATTAACAATCTGATGTTTGAACTAGAGAAATCAGAGCAGTGTAGGCAAGAAATACGTTAGAGTTGTAAGTAAATAATAACAAATGTTATGAAAAAATGTTCAGTCATTCTATTCATCTGTAAGAGCTGTAGTTTTTTTTCTATGTCAGTCTAATTATGTCTTATCTAATACTTCTCAACCACAATATCTGTGCCAAAAAGAATTCTGTTATTTGAAGATATTTTTCTGGTTGATCTGCCATCTTTTTTCTTCGAAACATTGTCTAATCTATATTCCAGCAGGAAAGAAGATTCGAATTTTTTTTTACACATTACTGTAAATATCATTTCTGTTTACTTTTGTTCCATATTTTTCATTTATGATTCAATTATTCCTCATCCGAATAAACTTAACATTGATTTTTTAAGTTTAATTTTCAAACGATACATTTTTATATGCCCGTGGCGTGTGTCCATACGCACTCACAGGAGAGTAATTATGTGGCTAGAGGGACAATAGGTAACTGTTCTTTCTCTTTGATGTCATTCATTCCGTAATGCTTTTATGTGGCTATTTTCTTTTGTGTGGCTAAAAAGAACAATAGAGAGAACAATAGAGTAGCCCCATAATGACTCTCCTGTTAGAATGTCCGTCCGTCTGTCCGTCCGTCCGTCCGTTAGCAATTTGGTTTCCGGAGCATAACTTAAGTTCCATTTGGCCAACAATATTCAAACTTCATAGGATGATTGTCCATATTGGGTAAAAGACCCCTATCGATTTTCGGGTCATAAGCTCAAAGGTCAAAGTCACTATGTGAAAACAGTTTCCGGAGCATAACTTAAGTTCCATTTGGCCTACAGTTTTCAATCTTCATAGGATGATTGTCCATATTGGGTAAAAGACCCCTATTGATTTTGGGGTCACAAGGTCAAAGGTCAAGGTCACTATGACCTTAAAACTGAAAACAGTTTCCGGGGCATAACTTAAGTTCCATTTGGCCCACAGTGTTCAAACTTCATAGGATGATTGTCCATATTGGGTAGAAGACCCCTATTGATTTTGGGGTCACAAGGTCAAAGGTCAAGGCCACTATGACCTTAAAACTGAAAACAATTTCCGGAGCATAACTTAAGTTCCATTTGGCCCACAGTGTTCAAACTTCATAGGATGATTGTTCATATTGGGTAGAAGACCCCTATTGATTTTGGGGTCACAAGGTCAAAGGTCAAGGCCACTATTAACTTAAAACTAAAAACAGTTTCCGGAGCATAACTTAAGTTCTATTTGGCCCACAGTGTTCAAACTTCATAGGATGATTGTCCATATTGGGTAGAAGACCCCTATTGATTTTGGGGTCACAAGGTCAAAGGTCAAGGTCACTATTACTTAGAAATTGAAAACAGTTTCTTGAGCATAACTTAAGTTCCATTTAGCCCACAATATTCAAACTTCATAGGATGATTGTCCATATTGGGTAGAAGACCCCTATTGATTTTGGGGTCACAAGGTCAAGGTCACTATTACCTTAGAATTGAAAACAGTTTCTGGGGCATAACTTAAGTTCTATTTGGACCACAATATTGAAACTTCAAAGGAGGATTGTTATTTGAAGGAGGTAATACTTTATTTAATTCCAATGTCTTACAAATGTTTCATCTTTACTATAAAAAAATCACTTTTTGGCATATAATGCTCCGCCTAGCGGTGCTCTTGTTAAATTATTTACACATAACTTTTGCTAGAAAAAAATCCAAATTATTTTTATGTTTTTATAACAAAACGCAAATTTAAAAGATTTCAGTAAATAAAATTTTACATTTCATGCAAATGTATCAAATTATAGTAATAATTCATAATATTCTTTCGAGACCACCCCATTGGTCTGTAATAGGTTAGTTTTTAAACTTTTATATAATATGTTTAAGCAAATATACTGATGATTTCAAGGTCTTACTCAGCTTGCTCCGAGAAAACGATGCCAAATTTATGACAAAATATTTAATGGGTGAAATAATTTTGTTTAGGTTTTCCTATGATTAGAAACATTCCTTGCCCTTACCTTTACTTAACTGAAATTAATTTATATCACACGCGTTTGTTTCTTTATTGAATTGAAATTAATTTATACCACATGTGTTTGTCTCTTCTTTTCCAACTCAATTTGAATATGTATAATTGTAAGTCTTGATGTATATAATATTTATACTTGTAGCTCTAGCATTTATCTATCAAAGAAATATAGCTATTCCACTTGGGAAATTTAAATAGAATTTCATTTTAAACATTATATTATTTTTATGCCACCGCAGCATCTGCGATGCGGTGGCATATAGCGATTCACCTGTGTGTGTGTGTGTGTGTGTGTGTTTGTTTGTTCGTTTGTTTGTGTGTGTGTGTGTTATATAGATTATATAGTGAACTTAAAAAATCTTCTTGTGAAAAACCAGTTGTCCAATTTCAACCAAACTTGGCAGGATTGATCCTTGGGTGAAGGGCTTCCAAAGTTGTTCAAAGAATTTAATTCCATGCAGAAAACTGGTTGCCATGGCAACCAAAAGGAATTATAAGAATAAATTTAAAAAATCTTCTTGTAAAGACCCAAAAGGCCTAGAGCTTAGATATTTTGCATAAGGCATTGTCTGGTAGACCTCTACCAAGATTGTTCAAATTATAGCCCTGGGGTCAAAATCTGCCCAGCCCCGGGGGTCATTGATTTTCACTATATGTACATATAGTAAAAACTTAAAATACCTTTTTGTAAAGACCCATAGGCCTAGAGCTTAGATATTTTGCATAAGGCATTGTCTGGTAGACCTTTACCAATATTGTTCAAATTATAACCATTGGGTCAAAATTAGCCCTGCCCCGGGGGTCATTGATTTTCACTATATGTACATATAGTAAAAATTTAAAATACCTTCTTGTAAAGACCCAAAAGGCCTAGAGCTTGGATATTTTGCATAAGGCATTATCTGATAGACCTCTACCCAGATTGTTCAAATTATAGCCCTGGGGTCAAAATCGGCCCGACCCCGGGGGTCATTGATTTTCCTCATATTTACATAGTAAAAACTTATAGTAAAAACTTTAAAAAAAATTCTTCTAGCAATTGACAATTGCTAGAGGTTAGATACTTTGCATGAAACATTGTGAAGTGAACCTCTAGCAAGAATGTTCAAATGATAGCCCTGGGGTCAAAATTGCCCCCGCCCCGGGGTCATTGATTTTCAATAATATACATATAGTAAAAAATAAAAAAAAATCTTATTGTGTGAAGGTACAAGGCTTAGAGCTTTAATATTTGTTAAATGATATCATCTATAGGTACTCTACCAAAGTTGTTCAAATTTTGCCTCTAGTGTCAAAATTAACAGTGAACTTTGATATCAGCTGACCTAGATTTTGACAAAGTGTATTACATGTTGTCCTTTGATGCAGTCATGAAATTTTAGGCTGTGTGAAATATGACCTTCACCACCAAATTCACTAGACTCAAGTGCATTGATATATTCCTACTCTGATCTTTTATTGAGTTAACAATAGATTTAACCACTAATCTGATAATAAGAATTAGATATGCATTATGACAATCTTCAATTGTATAGAAACAAAAAAAATATGTTCCTACACTACTATTTAGAGTTGTATTAATGCGGTGGCATAGCATTTTTCTCAAATGCAATCTTGTTTTCTAATTGGCAGCCATTTAATTCTTAAATTGGCCAAACGATGTTTCAAATAATGAAACTAGTAGGAATCAATATCATATTAAAAGAAATGAAGTACAAAATGTTTACATTGTTTTGTATCTTTTCTGAATGATATTATTTACTTTACGAGTAATTTTTTAGTACTGACTACCATATATACTGAATAACTTTACTAATCCATATTATTATATGATTTAAATATAGCTTCAATCTCATTGGTTCAAACAGTAGTCATCATAACTTTTTATAGAATCATTTTCACTGGGTGTAGTATCATATTGGATTTTCCCAGTCTAAAAATAGATTGATATTCATATTTAATGACAATATACCGAAGATTGTTAATAACGCGTGCTTATTAAATATAATTTTTGTATTTTGTTTTTAAGGTGTATTTCTCGATTAAAAAATCATTACTTTACAATTATATTTAAAAGTTACACCGCAATTATGAGTATAAACTTGAAAATCTTTTGTATGTGTAGCGTTCGCGTAGTTGCTGCACGCTTTGCACGTGCGTCTTTCTTACCGCGCTTCACCGAAACAGGCAAAAGTTGTACCCGCTTTGATTTTTATTTGTTTGGGTCGTCAGACCAAACAAATAATGGTAGCGAAATTTCAGACTGTAATGCTGTTAATTGCAAGTGCCGAAAGTAGTCCGCTTTTTTGAAGCGGTTACTTCCCTTTATATGTAACACTTAGGCCGAAAAATTTAGGGGAGATCACTGCGTAAATATGGTAACATGACAGGCGGATTAATTTTCAAGCAAAATAATTCCCGAATGGTCGAATATTTCTAATATTGTTTTATTCTTTATAGATATACATGCTTATAGTAAGCGCCATGATTATTTACACAAGTGTTAAACAACAGTTAGCGTCGTTACAAACCCTAACTAGAATAATATGGTTTTCTTCAGGCCATTAACATATAAATTCACCGTGGCCGAGGGGTTTGCGCGCTCGCTTAGGAAGCGAGAGGTCTGGAGTTCAAATCCCAGTTAAGGCAACTCATTTTTTTCAAATTGTTTAAGTCAAATAAACATTGGATCGAATATCAGTGTTGCAATTAGTCTTATAGCCATTCTACTACAATTAAAACGCTGGAAAGCATTGGTGGCACTATACAAAAACAAATTGTTTTATAATCTCACAACCTTCACCTTTCTGACATTCTGAGACCCAAACAAATTCAGCGCCTTCTGTGCTTTGATTTAAAATTCTTATAGCCTATTCATATAATAAAACAATTATTGACTAGCGTGCCATTGAATGGTGTTATTAACAGGCAGAAAATCATATTGGCATCTGCTGGTGAATATCACATCATATTCAGTGGCGCACTAGTCAATAAGTGTATAATAATTTAATCTTTAATGACTACAATTGTACAATAGCATCATTTTTGAAGAATTGTCAACAATCTGAAAGCATACCTATTTAAATTTAAGACCAATCATGCAGAAAACCATATCACTGAGATACCTGAAGACTTATGTTTATCTGCGACAACTGCATTGTAAACATACAATATCTGGATAAAAATACGTATGAACAAATAGAATTAAATTTTACAAATAGTGGTGAGTGTTGCATCAGGTTCATAA